GGGGGCTGCAAACGGTGAGGTCTGTGTACTGGGGGGGATGTGTGTGGTACACTGAGTGATGCCAGGGGGGTGAGGTGTGAGCTGCAAGGGGTCTGCGCAAGTTGTGAGCTGTGGGCGTGTGTCGGGTAGGGGGTAGTTTGCTCTGGGTGTGTGCCTGTGGGGTGGGATCTGTGTGTTGGGTTGTGAGCTCTGTGATAGGCTGTGTGTGCGCGTGCATGCATGGGTATGTGTGTGTGTGTGTGTGTGTGCGCGCGCACTGTGCGTGTGAGGATGCTGGCATGGGCCCCGGGACCTGCCCCTGTTTCCTGTCCCTGGGGGGCCTCCGTCCTCGCTGGCTCAACCCACACACACGCACGGCTGCCGGCCAGGTGCGCAGGCCCAGGAGCAGTCACATCAGGGCTGGCGTGCCATGCCCACAGCAAGCACACTGCCAAGCCTGGGGCAGCTGTCCTGCAGGGCTGGCACTCACCCCCCCCCGCTTCTGCCAGGGGGTGGGTGGGTGGGTGGGCAGGGCCAGTATCCCCTCTAGCCCCCCTCCATCCCTGCTTTCCCACACTGCCCCACGCAGCCCTTTCCCCCTGACTGGCTCCCAGCTGACTGGGGTCCCTTGGACCATGGACCCCCTGCATTCAGGGCAGAGGGGAAGCCCCCCACTCCTGCAATAGAGGAAAAGGAAGGAAAATAAACCTGCCTGGACTGTGCCGTGGATGAGTGGCTCCCTGGCAGGTCCTGCTCTCCCCAGCCAGGAGCTGCCCTCCGTGGTGTCCCCACTGGCTGCACTCCCCGCGTCTCCCAGCTCCCGTGCTGCCCGACTCCTCGCTCCCTTCTGGCTCAGATGGTCCTGGAGCTCTTCCTGACCACTTCAGCTGTGACGAAAGCCCTGGGAAAGCTGCCTTCCCCCCCGGCCCCCCTCACCCTCTCCTCCCAGCTCTCCTCCCAGCTCCAGAGGAAACTGGGGAATTTGGGAGCCAAGAGCTACAAGGCCTGGGGAAGGCTCCTAGGGTGTCAGCATAGGCAGCGGGAGGCGGAGGCAGACAGACAGATGGACATTAAGACCCTGGGACAGGGGCCGCAGGGAGCCAGGACTTGAAAAGACACCTTTTCCCAAGGCATCGTCCCTCCACAGCTCTCCCAGACCCAGAGGATGCCCAGACGGGGCCAGGGCAGAAGACGACGCACCGGGCCAAGCTGGGTGCAGCGGGGGATCGACGAGGCCGTGAGCATCACCCCCGCCCCCACGGGAAGCACAGCAGCCTCCGTGCTACATGGAGCCAGGCCTGGCAAGGGGAACCGCGGCGCCTCATTCTTGTGGTTGCCTCTTTGGAAGCAGCGACGGGGCTGGGAACGTGAGCGCTGCACAGGGCGGGGGCGAGCGGCCGGCCGGCCGCCCCGGGGAGCAGGGCTGGCTGGGGCTGGGGCCAGGGCCTCGGCTCCTTCAAAACGTGCTTGCACCTGCTGGGCTGCATGCACATGCCTTTAATGCCACGCATGGTCAATGCCAGGTACTGGCACACGCACTGCATGCTAGCAGTGCACACCCATGCAGGCTCATGTACGCTCACTAGCATACATGGTACACAGTAGCAGTACACCCCCTATGCCCACAACTCTCTAGCAGTTTGCACACTCACTCATACACACATGCTAGCAGCACACCCACACACACACATTGCCTGTAAACACTACCCCCCTTCCTTATACACTCAGGATGCACACCCACCAGCACCAAGCAGGCCCTCCCCTTCCCTCCACAGTACACACACACACACACCATTCACAGCCAACACCCACCACCCGCCCCTGGAGCACTCCCTGCACTTCCCGTCACATCACAGCCAAGCCCCTGGCTGCCAGCCCTGTGCCGCACACCCGCCAACACGGTACAGACACATGAGCCTGACACGCGGCCCCTTGAATGTTGTGCACATGCTCCATGAACTGGCAGCACATGTATTACCCTGCTCATGCACACCCCTGCTAATAGAAAACATATCCCTGCTTGCACACACATCCCCTGGCAATGCACACGCATGGTGCACACACCAGCCCATGGCTCCCACCCTGCTCTCCCCATGCCCTCCCCAGGGAAGGCTTTGCTGGGCCTGGGCTCCTCCCTGCTCTGCAGCAGGCACGCAGGCCCGGTGGCAGCGCCAGCTGTTGTGGTGCCCAGCCCAGGGTCAGCCCGTCCAGGCCTCCAGTGGTTTTTTTCCAAGGTTAGGACGGATGTTGCCTTTGGCCGGCGTGGCTCAGTGGCTTTGAGGCTCCTCCAGGCTGAATGGCCTATGGCTGGGAGACGCGCCAGGGCTCAGCAGCTCCGGCCTTGGCCCTTTCCCATACTCCAGAGCGGAAGCCCCTTGTCCCCCTTCCCCGGCCAGGGTGTGAGATGGGCTCGGAGCTGAGCATCGGTCCCTGGGGACCTGCTACTGGGCCAGGGAGGAGCCAAGGCAGCGCCTGCTGCTTCCCCAGCTCTTGCCAGCCACAGCTTGGCTCTGATCTTGTGCCCCCAGCCAGCAGCCAGGTCTTTGCCCACTCCCTGCCCCCAGCCTGTGATACCCATGCTCCAGGGCCTGGAGCCTTGGGCACCTCGGGGTTCATCCCACCGTGCCCCTATCTACACACTGCACTCCCTCCTCTGTGCCTTGGTTTCCCCAGCTCGGAGGTGGGGGTGCTGGTGGCCCCTGCTCCCCCCCTCCCCTCACATACACGCGTGCTCCAGGCAGTGGTGAGGCCAAGCGTGTTTGCAAGCTGCTCACGCTGTTTATTACCCAAGGCACGAGACATCCCGGGTGAAGGAGACAGCTGCTGCCAGCCACGGGCCCAGGATGTGCCCTGCATTCAGGATTAACCCTCAACCTGCTGCAGTAAGTTTCCTGGCACGCAGGCAGCTCTGGAGAGAAGCACCCATAAAACGGGCAAGGAAAGACACTGGGGAGCCAAAGCCCCTGGGCCCCCAATGCCTTAGGCTGCCCCATGGAGGGGCATGTACTGGCCCAGCCCCCCCGACCCCGGCTGCCCCAGGGAGGTGGAGCAGGGCACAGGGCTGGGCGAGGGCCATTCCCTATGAGGCTTTGACCAGGGACCCTCACCAGCTGCCGTGACTTCATCCTCCCACCTTGGCCCAGAGGCCTACCTTCGCCTCTGCTTTACAGAGGGGGAAACTGAGGCACAGGAGGATCATCATGGCTGGACACATGGGCTGTGGGAAAGCTGGGGTTGGAACCAGATGGCCCATGGGAGGACACAGCCACGATACACCTCCCTGCTGCTGGGCTGGGGGCTCTACCCCCAGGAGCCCAGGTGGGAGCTCCTGCCCTGCTGCAGGGGGGCTGTGCGGGGGGGCTCATGGCTGGACGCACTCCCCGGGGTGGCTGGTGTCTGGCAGGATGCTGCAGTTGATGGGCCAGGCAATGCCCAGGAGGTCAAGGGCCGGCTGGCAGCGCTGCTCAGCTGCCAGGCACACGGGGCGGCAGGGCCGCAGGACCCCCCCGTCGGGTGTACACTGGGGCACGAAGAGCCCGCAGACCAGCAGGCGCAGGGACTGGTAGCAGGACAGCCCTGCCAGGCTCTGCAGGAGAGAGGGACCAGGAGATGCAGCTGGGCAGGGCAGGGCCAGGCCTTTGCCCCCCTGCCCAGCCCCGGTGCCCAGCTCACCTTGTAGCCCTGCAGCACGTCGGCGGCGCCTTGCTGGTCGGGGATGTTCAGCCAGATGTTGGGGAAGGCCGTGGCATTGTAGCTCAGCCCGAGGCACATCTCCACCTGGATCAGCTCACAGGACTCTGGTGGCGCAGGGGCACAGTCAACAGGGGGCAGGTCCAGGTGCACGGGTGCACCGCCCCGCTGACACCTGCCGCGCTCACTCTGTTGCCCCAGCCCCTGGGCTGATGGGTCACATGCACTGGGCACAAGGCACTCACCGACAGGCGGGGGGCGCGTGCTGGTGCAGTTGAGCTCGTCGCTGCCATCAGGACAGCCATGCCAGCCATCACACACCGCCTCGGGCGCCTGGCACTCCCCGTTCCCGCAGGGGAACTCCCAGGGGCTGCACGTCCCTGCAGGGGGTGAGGGGAGAAGGGACGCGGTGAAGGCGCCCCGCACCCGGCCCCTCTGTGCTCACAGGCCCTTGGGACGGGGGGTGCCATGGACCCGAGGGAGTCTGGTGCTTTCAGGGCACTGCAGAGCTGCTGTGGCGCCGTCCCCAGCCCCGAGGGGGACGGGCAGGCTGGGGCTGAGGGGTCATTATGGCAGGGCCTGGCGTCAGGCTGAGGCATGGGAGCGGGGCCATGCAAGGAGACCCGTTCCCACGGGGAGCGGGGAAGGGGGAGCGTGGGAAAGTGCAAGGAGCTCAGGACAGCATCCGGCTGCTCCGGGGACCTGGGGCTTGTTCCCGGCTCTTCCATCCACCCCCCGCTGCCCCAGGCACCATGCACAGGGCAGGCGGGAGGGTGCAGCTCTGGCTACGGCATAGCCCCCCGGCCCCCCCCAGCCTCAGCTCAAACTGGGCAGGAGTGCAGGAGGAGGCACTGGCTCCAGCAGGGTCGGGGGGCAGGAGATACCGAAGCCAGGCCAGAGCTGGGGCTGCGTGGGCTGGCGTGACTTCCCATGGACAGGCCTGCAGCTCCAAGTCAGCAGCGGGAGACACCAGGCTTCCTCCTCTCCCCAGCTGCGAGCCCAGGGGAAACTGAGGCACAAACCAGTTGGGGGGGGGACCCCCCAAGCTCACCCCACAGGCCTGAAGTAGAGCCAGGAACTAAACTGCAATGTCCCAGCCCAGGGAGCTAACCGTGCCACCACGCTTCCTGGCATCCTGGGGCAGGGAGACAGCGGGGCCTAAGGTGACATAGCAAGGGGCTCAGAAGGCCCAGCCGCCCCAGCCCCCCGTGCCCGGGCAGTGGGTGCCCCCATCTCTCCCAAGACCCAGCTCCTACGCTCCGTGGCGTTCCAGGCCTGGTAGGTGGCGAAGAACCCGTCGTCGGCCACCCCGTCATCGGCCACGAACAGGACAGTCATGACGTGGCGTGTCGAGGTCAGGACAGGCGGCAGTCGGGAGCCGCAGAACCTGCCGGGACACGGGCAGTGGGAGCGGCGGGCAGGCAGGGGGCATGGAGGAGACCTCGGGAAGCAGAGGCGGGGAAGGGCCCTACCTGCCCAGCAGGTTGCGGGCACTGGTGCCTGCACCATCGTGCACCTCCACAAAGTCGAAGGAGCAGCCGTCCTGCGCCTCCAGGCTGAAGTTGTGGAAGTGCAAGGTGATGAGGTGGCCCTTGGGCACCGAGATCTGCCACAGGCACAGCTGCAAGAGATTGGGGGGGGTGCAGCTGCTGGGGAGGTGCCGTGGGCACTGCCCACCTCTGGGGGAGTTGCTGGCTGGGCACAAGCCCCCCTCCCCCCATTCCCAGGAGCTCAGGGGGGCTGGGTGGAGATGCTCTCTGCCCCGCTCCCCTCTCCAGGCAGGGGCTGACCCCTGCCTCATGGAGGTGGTTTTCTGGGATGTGAGCTGAGCACCCTGCCTGGGCACCGTGGCTTGGCCTCCCTGCTCACCCCAGGCTCTGCACTCACCTGCTGGTGCGGGTAGGGCCGGGGGTGGTTGGGGGTGGAGATCTGCCCCTCCAGGCTGGTCAGCGCCCCGCCGCACTCTGGAAGGACACAGACAAGCCATGGGGCAGGATAAGCCGTGCACCCTTCACCCCTTTCTGCCAGGGCCCAGGCCAGGCACGGGCATCCAGGCAGCACCCACACATGCAGCATCCCAAGAGCCATGACCCCGGGAGGCAGCGGGTTTGGCCCCCTCCCCTGACCTCCCCAGCTTCACCTGTCCCTAGCCCAGGTGCCAGCAGCCCTGCCCGGCCCACCCGCACCTGGGGGCTTGTGGCTGCAGTTGGCTTCGTCACTGTAGTCTGTGCAGTCGTGGAAGCTGTCGCAGACGGAGGCCAGGGGCAGGCAGCGCCCGGCGTCGCACAGGAACTCGTCCCAGGCGCAGCTCCCTAGGAGATGGGCAGACAGAGCCTGAGGATGCACGGCTCTACCAGAGCCTAGCTGGGCAGGGCAACGGGCCCTGGATACACTGATGACCTCTGGCCAGCGGGGCTCTGCCTGCAGCCAGCACCAGCATCCTCGCCCCAAGCCCCTGCCCCTCCCCAACCCTGCTGTGCCCCTCCAGGCTGCTCCCCCAAGACTCCGGCGCGGGGTGAACCTAGCACTCACTCTCGTTGGGCGCAATGGCACGGTAGCGGGCGCTGAAGCCCCGGGCGCCCACGCTGCCGTCCGACACGAAGGTGACACGGAGCCGGCTGGTGTTGGTGTTGAGCGTGGGGGGGGCCACGCTGCCACAGAACCTGTGGAGGGGGCGCGTGAGCCCAGGGGGTGGGACGCGGGACAAGCCCCGGGCGCCCACGCTGCCGTCCGACACGAAGGTGACACGGAGCCGGCTGGTGTTGGTGTTGAGCGTGGGGGGTGCCACGCTGCCACAGAACCTGTGGAGGGGGCGCGTGAGCCCAGGTGGTGGCACGCGTGACCACCCCCTCCATGCCATCAAGGGGGTACCTGTGGGTGGGCGAATGCAGGGATGCCCCTTCCCCAACCAACATCGGAGGCCCTGCTCATGGCACAGTGGGCCAGAGCGCTGGCAGCAGGTGTGGGACAGGTGTCTCCCTCGCGCCAGGCTGGGCCCCTCCATCCCAGACCAGCGCTGCAGCCTCCCTTGGCTGGTGCCCCTCAGTCCCGACCCACAGCTACTCTAGCCCCTGCCCCTTCTGAGCAGGGTCTGCCCGGGGCCAGGGCTGCTGGGGGGACAAGGTGGCGACGGGCACCAGGGACTCCCCAGAATAGGGCTGGCCGAGAGAGGGGACGGGTCTCTCCCCACCCGGCCCCACCTGACTGCACTGCCCGGGGGAGCACTGGTCCCCGTGCCCTCATCGTCGGGCTCCTCGTAGAGCTCCAGGCGGTCGAAGAGGCAGGTGGCAGTTCCCTCCATGCTGAGCGCCTCCACCTTCAGCTGCACGGCCAGCTCGGGGGGCACCCGGATGTGCCACACGCACAGGGCGTTGGGGGGGTAGGGCGCCGGGTAGTTGGGGGAGCTGAAGGAGCCCTCGCGGCCTCGCAGGGTCCCGCCGCAGGCTGCGGGCAGAAGGGACGCATGGGGAGTTCAGGGCAGAGACCCTGCGGGGGTGCTCACCTCCCAGAGGTGCTGCCTCTCCAGACCCCAGGGCAGCTGGGCATGGGGATGGGGCTGGGCCGCCCAGACTCACCTGGCTCTGGCGTGCCAGCTGTGGGCAGCTTGCTCTGTTCCTGGGGGGGCGGGGAGCTCCGGGGGGCAGGTGGCGTGGTGCTGCTGGCAGGGGGAGCCAGGGAGGGAGAGCTGCCTGGGTGGGGGGACGTCAGCTCTGTGCTGGCAGGACGGTGAGGAGGGGTCAAGCCTGGGGGCACCCAGAGTGCAGGTCTGCTCCCTGGGACTTGTGTGCAGCCTCCTGCAGGTGCCCAAGGCCAGGCAGGGCCTCTCCTCTGCTCTGGGACCCCCCTTCCTTCCCTTCCCCTCCCTAGTCTTCCTGGCCCCAGCTTCAGCCAGGGTGCAGAGGGACAGGGAAGATGTTACCGCAGCCCAAAGCCCCACTGCCCTGGCATCACCCTCCCAGGGTAGGAGCTGTGCAGGGTGGCCCAACAAGGCTGGGCTCCCTGCTCCTAGGCACTCACGGGAGAGGATGAGGCCGAGGAGCAGGGCGAGGAGCAGCAGCAGGAGGACGCTCAGCAGCACCACGCAGAGCCCCGAGAACCTGCAGTCGGGGCGCAGCATCTCCCCCGTCGGGCGCCAGCCCTGCCGGCCTGCGGGAGCCGTGCACGCAGCCCGTCACGGGAGCATTGCTGGGGGGGTCTCCCCCACAATATCAGTGGGTCCAAGCTGGGCCCTGGCTTACGAGCAAAGGATGCCTGGGGCTGGGGGCACAGGGGCACAGCCGGTGGCAGGGCCAATGGTTCACTGTGCCCATGAAGTGTGAGCTCCTCCATGGAGGGCCTACAGACTGGTCTGGCTTGTGACAGAGAAGACCTCCTCGACAGGCAGGGGTAGGCTCAGGGTCCCCTGCTT